GATGGTAAAAAATAATTCCATCGCATTTATATTTGTTTTCAGTCAGAGGTTCCCTTCGTTCTTTCGGTTAATTATCAGCGTTTTCTAATGACCCTCTTTGTTGTCTTACTTCACAGGTACTAGAGGTAACCGTTTGGCGTGAAGGGTTGGAATATACGCAAGCATATTCTCGCGGGAAGCCGGTGACAACTTTGAATTGTGTCATGCTTCCTTTTGAAAGTAAAGACCGTCAAGGAACGCGGATCAAATTTTGGCCTGACAAAGAAGGTTCTAATGCTCATTCGTTTCCAGTTTATGGTTTTTCTTCTACTACAAATTTTATTCTTACACATGGTTTCCTTTTTCTCCTTACTTAACATGCAGTATTCACCACTGCTATTCAGTTTGAATACAACACAATAGCTGGACGCATTAGGGAGTTGGCTTTCCTTAACCCAGAGGTGAAGTAGTCGATTTGTAGGAGAGCAATTTTTCTGTCTGCTTTGCGTCTAACACATATTTTTCTTGACCTTTGCAGCTTACAATTGTGCTTCGGAAAGAAGACAATGATCCAGAAAAGGTCCAATATAATGAGTATTTCTATGCTGGGGGATTGGCCGAATATGTGAAATGGCTTAACACGGATAAGGTCTTCTGCTCTGTCACCTATATGCTCGTAGTGCATGAAAATGTCTATTTTTTTTCCTTCCAGTTGTTTGCCGAGGGAGAATATCAGACTGCATATAATGTTAACTAAACAACTGTCTATTTTGACTAATACTGATGATCTGTTGCAGAAAGCTGTTCATGATGTTCTGAGTTTCAGAAGAGAAATAGATGGAATCACAGTTGATGTAGCTTTACAATGGTAAGCCCTTCATCCATGCATGGATTTTATTGTCTCTATTCGGTCCTTGATCTCCACTCCTTGTGAGTATGGTTAAGTATTAACGCTTGAAATTATTATGGGTTAGTTTTTTATATCTTGTAAACGTAAAATCTCCAAATGGCAAGTCGGATTGTACAATTATTTGTAAAATGACTGACTATTCACAAATCCTTTGATCCATATGTGTATTTCTTTTCATTTCTTCTCTGTTAGGTGTGAAGATGCATATTCCGACACGATACTAGGATATGCTAATAGTATACGGACTGTCGATGGCGGCACCCATATTGATGGCATGAAGGCTTCTTTAACAAGAACACTCAATAGTCTCGGAAAGAAATCAAAAGTTATCAAGGTATGAAGGATGCCAAGACATTTGTGCTTAGCCAAATTCGATAAGTAGGAGATTTGGAGCTAGATATGACATGAATGTAGCACCTAGACACGATTCTCTTTTATTCTTCCACTAAGAAGGTAGTGCAATCCTTCTAATATGTTTTAAGTGGAGAGCTTCTTCTGTTCTTTACAGGAAAAGGACATTACTTTAAGTGGAGAGCATGTGAGAGAAGGCTTAACATGTGTTGTCTCTGTCAAGGTCCCAAATCCAGAGTTTGAAGGACAAACAAAGGTACTGCTTTACTATATATTTTACTAGGAGTGCTTATGTTCTTGCATCATTAGGTTACCGGGATTATTACAGTTTTCACCATTCGATTTATTTCCCTTCATTTCATATTACCTCCATTTCTTTATTGCATGAAGACAAGGTTGGGAAATCCAGAGGTGCGGAAAGTGGTTGACCAATCTATTCAAGAATATCTTACTGAGTATTTGGAACTGCATCCAGATGTTCTTGATGCAGTTCTCTCTAAAGCTCTTAATGCTTTCAAGGTATTTAGAAGTGTGTCTTTTAGATCCTATTGATCCCGGTGAGTATTGGGCTTTTTTTTCTCATATGATTTAACCAAAAAATTTCTCTCTTTTGAAATTTGTCTTATTAGGCAGCTTTGGCTGCTAAAAGAGCAAGGGAGTTGGTGAGACAAAAGAGTGTATTGAGATCTTCATCTCTTCCGGGCAAACTCGCTGATTGTTCATCATCAAATCCCGAAGACTGTGGTATGCTTCTGTTTTGCGGAAATCTTTTTGCTTCTTAGAAAAACATTTATTTCAACTAAAGTTGTGTGACTCCCAGTAGTTTTCATGATCAAAGGATTGCTATAATTACTATGTTTCGTTCTAATTTGAAGCTCCTACCCAAATCCAAATGTCATTTATTTGGATAGTTTTCTTTGGTCTCTCTTTACCTTTAACTACTTTGTTATCCTTCATCTGGTCTACATTTATAAAATGTGTTCTATGTTTATGCAAACTTAACACACGTTGACGTGTAGGGCTAAGGGGTGTGTTCCAGCATAGTTGTTTCATGTCAAATGAGCTGAGAGATACTTCTAGAATAACCGTTTATTGAGATCTTTTAATGATTCATGCCAAATTAGTTGAAGGATCCTTTTGACTTTAATCTCTTGATGAGATAGGATTGTGTTTTGAATCGAAAATTCCGTGTTTTTTATCCCCATGTTGCAGAAATTTTTATAGTTGAAGGTGATTCAGCTGGGGGAAGTGCTAAGCAAGGTCGTGACAGGCGCTTTCAGGTAAAGTACACATTGTTAGATGAAAACCTATAAATGTGAAACAACCTGATATGCGGGGCACGAGCACGCAAGTGCACACAAACACACAAATATACACATTCATGGGTTTCATATTTGCCCTTATATGCAAGGAAGCCTATACAAGTGCCTTTTTGTTTGTCGAATCCTTTTTTGTATGATATTTCCCGTTTTGCCATCGGTGGACTTCAATAACTACCTTAGCAGAATGCAGATAATATGACAGAGGTGTTAATATTTTGAATTATGGGGACAATATTTTCTATAGGAAGATGTTAAATAAAACTCAAGTAATTGTTAGTTTGTTAAACCAATTTTGTTACCATTAGATCGCAAAACAATTTGAACAAGGTTAGAATGCGGTGACAGGAAATTTATAATTACTTTGCGAGTGAACTTTTCACATTTGGTTTTGGCTTTAATTTTTCCATACATTTCTCTAATTATTGTATCTAATTGCTTGTATTTTTTGTTAACTGACACGTGAAGCAGTTAATTTGTTAGATTAGTGCTTCATTACATGAACAAAAGACAGTTGAGTTATGCAAGTCTTTGTATTTATCAGCGTGTTTGTTGCAGGCCATTCTCCCATTGAGGGGTAAGATTCTGAATATTGAAAGGAGGGATGAAGCAGCAATGTACAAAAATGAAGAGATCCAAAATTTAATCCTCGGTCTCGGTCTAGGAGTGAAGGTTAAAATCATTTATGTTTCACCTGTGCTGGAACTCTATGCTCTTAACTCCGTCTTCTATTATTTAATTCAAAATGTGTTTTGTTGGTTCAGGGAGAGGATTTTAAAAAGGATGCACTTCGATATCATAAGATTATCATTTTAACTGATGCCGATGTGGATGGCGCCCATATCCGTACTCTGCTGCTGACATTTTTCTATAGATATCAGGTAATTATACATGCATTGCCTGTGAAATATGTTCCTATATGAAACGGGAAAACAAGTTGGTTTCCTTGAGAATACCAGATCAAAATGATTAAGTGGTTTTTTACTTGCAGAGAGCTTTGTTTGATGAAGGTTACATATACGTTGGTGTTCCGCCACTTTACAAGGTTTGTCTTGAATTTTTGTTACACCGAATGTTTATCAGATTGGATATTGGTCAAGCTAACTTCCTGGTGTTTTTACTGAAATAATTAGGTTGTTAGGGGAAAACAAGTGCACTATTGTTATGATGAAGCCGATCTTAAAAAACTTAAGAGTTCGTTCCCTCCTAATGCATCATACAACATGCAAAGGTTCAAAGGGCTGGGAGAGATGATGCCTTTACAACTATGGGAGACAACCATGGATCCAGAGCAGAGGTTGTTGAAGAAGTTGACGGTTGAGGATGCAGCTGAAGCAAATATTGTTTTCTCATCCCTTATGGGTGTTCGGGTAATGCGCACAAGATAGTTAATGATCACGAGTCAGCACATTTGTCTTTATTACAGTGCCATAATCTGAATGTTTAATTTAATCTATATCAGGTGGATGTTCGAAAGGAGCTGATACGAAATGCTGCCAACATGATTGATCTTGATCAGCTAGATATTTGATGATGCTACAGGCTATGGAAGAAATGTGATTTTTTCATCTTTGTATTAACAACCATACATTACATCTTAGTCAAGCACAGATTACTCTATATAAGATGGAAGGTCTTTCTTAATTGAAGCATGGCGCGCCCGTTAAATTTGGAAGCATTTTTCTTTACACTGGCTAGAGTGGAGTGGTCATTTGCACTTGGTGGTAAAGTTTTTGGAGGCTTGGTTGAAATCTAATTTGATTTCTACAAATCTGACAAGTGTACATTTTTCTGATCCAACATTATGTGAAGTTTTGTGTAATGTTGTTGATACACATTCAAAAGCTACCAGCTTCTGAACTGTGTTTGATTGTGCCATTTTAGAAGGTTAAGTTATAGGGTAATCAATCAAAATAACTTCAATAATTTTGACTGCATTCAGCAACTTTATTAAGGAGATAGTTGTCTTTATTTATTATTATTTTAATGCAGTGTGTTAATAGACAATGCACTCTTATTTCACTATCACTCTGCTCATGCATTGTTTTCTGACCATTCTAAACTGTTTAAAGACTATTCTCAGAAATGCATAACTTATAAAAGCTCCAAGCTCAATTAGAGTATATAATCAGATTCTTCCACCTATTTCTGTACATTATCTTCAACGGCTATAATACAAGTTATTCACATGCATGAATTGAAAACTTACAAACCATGTTACATATCTTAGATTTCAGATCCATGTAGCCGATCCCATTTAGTGTGATAAGACTTAGTTGTTGTTGGTTTCTCATAAGTTCCTTCCACCGGAGGTAATCCTATTCTAAGCACTGTCGGACTCTAAACGTGTGCACCTCGACTCAAACTTTGGTTCGCCACCTTGCTCAGAGTCTAGCCCATTCCTGCTAGATTCAGCCCGGTTGGTTGAGATTCATCCTTCATCAATGAATGCCTAAAATTTTCAGGTTATTCAAAAAGGTTTCTCCAATAATGGAACCAACCTTAACAAACACGCAAGGATAACCCATTGGAGCTTCTATCCATGATTCACTTCCTTGTTTTGAAAACACTTCTCCTGTCCATATATGTGTCCAACTACTAGTCTCTCCCAATGGAAAATAAGCTTTAACTTTCTTCCTTCCTTTGTCAAGAACAGGCACCACTAGAAACTCAGAACCAACCAAGAATTGTTGATAACTCAAGTTATGGACATGTTCATCGTTAGGATAATGGAGAAATAGGTGGCGACATACAGGCAATCCTTTCCGCGCTGCTTCCTGTTTGCATAATATAGAAGAAGAACACCATTATACATGATTGCTTAGTTAAAAACAGTTGTGTAAGGATAATGGAATTTAGAATCACCTTCACTAGTTGAATTCGGTAAAATTTCCATGCTGTGTATATTTTTGCAGTGCGCGCAAAGTGTGATAGAGTTTGTTGGTTTGAGTAAAACTGGCTGTTGCATGATGGTTTGTTTCCCTGCTTGCAGAACAAGCATCAGTGATGATTCATTGCAATCAGACTTGAATAATGAAATTTATGGAATGAAAAGTTTCGTTGATGGACAAGGCTATTGCAGGTGTTTTACTTACTTCATGAGTGCGGAAGACAGTGGTGAAAGAATTAAGCTCCATCCAGCGCAAAAGCAATTCTTGACTTCTTCTGTATTTAACTATCGGTAAGTTAACTGTACAATATCCTCCGATGTCGCTGTGATTAAAGGCATAGCCGGATATTCCACTGCTAAGTAGACCAACAACAGAACTCTTGATTCCGTCGTTTGCTTGCCAACTCACCATTTGATCTCCTTCCCAAAACAGCATCCCCCATTTCGGGCTATCTTTAAAACCTGCTCTCATGAAGAAAACCAAACCGTCGTCTCGGTTTTCATTCAAATTTTCTAAAGACTTGCTTTTCCATTCTTCCACAATCTCTCTGTTGATTTTGGCCCATAGTTCTGGATATCTGTTATGAGCTGAAATAGGATCTTCGCCTGAATATAAAACCGCGTCAACGGGAAGGCCTTCGCCAAAATCAGCCATCCATCCTCTAACTCCATCGTCCACCATTTCAAGTAAAATCTGCTTGAACCAAGTTTCAGTTTTCGGGTGAGTTAGATCTAGCATTGCCACATCAAAGGCGGTATTTGGAACCATATATGGATTTCCGTTACCGTCTTTCACCAATATGTCCAACTGTTTTGCCTCCTCGAAAAGGTTTCTCTTTTTGTTATCCTTCTCTTCAACCTATAGGATCAGAGAGAAAGAAAATAACCGAATTCATGACATTACTACAATGACAGTTTTTCTAAACTACACAAGCGTGTCTGAACTGATATGATGATAGTGATTACAATATTTATTCTCTATCAAGCATAGACACCGACAACAGTAATAATTTGAAAAAAATGGTGGATGATGTCAGGTCTCGGACACGGACACAGACACTGACACACATTTGGTGCTACAAAGTTTATTCATACTTGAAGTTATTAAAAGGGAGCATTACCGGAGCGAGACAGGGATTGCAATAAGTCATAACTTTTATGTTTTGAGTGCTAAGATCTTTGATAAGTTCCTTCCAACCCCAATATCTCTGTTCATCTACTTCCCAATTCCACCAAAGTTGCGAGCCAATCATGGTTTCTCTCTGTCCTACCCAATCCTGCTCAGTTTCACAAACTTCTGAGATATATAGATTCGAGTTTTTATGGAAACTTCTAAGAATTGATAGGGTCTATAGAAACAAGTTTTGAAGATTGATTACCTGTAACCAAAATGCCGAGACAGGAACGTCATAAGTTCTTAATTCATCCCATATACGACGTACAGAATCAGTGCCGCCCTGCATTCCAACTACAGCACCCGATATGATCCACTCTGGAAGCTCTGGTAGCCGTCCAATGGTTTCTGTGAAACGTTCAATCAGCTCACAAGGTGTGTTCCCATGCAATATCCGCCCTTCAACCGAGTTTCCATATATCTGCAAGATCCAGTTTATAGAAAATCGGAAACTACAAAAGAAACGTGAACCATTTGTATGTTATAATTTCTCAAACAATACCTGTATCTGTACTCTGTCGAGTTTAGTAAGATCAAAGATGGTATAATCATATCCTTCAAGGTAAAGAGACCTCATTTTTGAAGTCATGTAGAATGGAGAAGGAGCATATGTTGTACTCCAATCACCTCCTGCCCTGCCAATACCAATCAAATGTTATCATTGTGTTGTAAACAAGGCCTTCTTTGAAGGCGCACTCCTAAACAATGACAAAATAGGGCCTCTGTTTGTTTTTCCACATCTAAATCGTGGCTAACCTACACAGAGACTTTGAAAACTTAAAACGACTCTGGTTGTAAACAAAATATATACATAGCTTATGATTTACAACCAAAGTGGTTTGTGCGGAGTGTGTGAGCGTTACAAACTCTGTCGAAGCAGTTGCATTGACCTACCTGTAACTGACCAAGTTAGCAGCACAAGTGATAGGTTGATCACCTCTTCCAATACCTTGTTCTTGAACTAAGATAGGTACTCTTTTACCCTTGAAATTCATATGAGAAAACTGTTCTCCAAAACCATAAAACCTCTCATTTTCATCACTAGCATAACTCAACCAAATCCTATTGAATTCTTTCGGTTTCGATATTTCCATTTCTCCACTTTCATCCTCCACTGATGAAACCAAAACAAACCCTCTTGGCCTCGAAAGGTACCAAAACCAACCTAACCTCTTTTTCCTGCTACTCAACCTCTTCTTGAAACCCTTGTAAACTCCAGAACCTTCTGGAGAAACCTTATCACTCGAACCGAAATTCAGTTTCTCAATCTTCACTTGAAATCCAACTTCATGCTTGTTTCTCTGATCAAACAAAACCCAATACCTCGCATACACAAATGGCCCTTTTGATTCAAACTGTATATTCCCTTCAATTCCATATTTTTCAAACCTTTTGTTCTTCTTACTCATATTGAAAAGTCTCCCTGTGATCAACAAACTAGGAAACTTGATCTCTTCTGTTAAAGTAAAATCCGCAACTGAAACTTCATATTGATCGATCATTCTAATCTCATCAATGGTTTGGTGATTACAGATCAAATGAACATCTTTGTCTTTAACAAGAAATGACCCTCTACTTTCTTCAATCTCAGTGTCAACCACAGCAGCTGAAACAAAAGCCTTGCCTGAGATTGTAGACCAGATTGGTCTGTTTTTCTGAGAAAGATGTGAAATTGAGATATGCCCGCCATTGATGATTGACCAAGAGAGGTGAAAATCATTGCCAATTGAAAAGGTTTGATCTTGTGAACAGAGAGATTTGGAATTGATGAATAGAGAGCCTTGAACGTTAGGGATGGTGGTTGGAGATGAAGGGAAAGGGTTGTTGAAACGTTTGTGGTGTTTTTTGCTTATTTTAAGGATTGCCATTTTTAACAGAAATAACGAAATAAAATATAAAAAAATATAGGAAAATGTTTGGTTTTAAGTAGTTTATGTGTTTTTGAGATTCCTATGATGTTTTTTATTCTTTTTTATAGAGTTTCTTTTTATGTTACATGTGGAAGAGGATTGAAAAGTCATTTTTGTGTGTTTTTATGAGACTTTAAGATCGGACCAAGCCATCAAAATTGAGACTTTATAGATTTGTTTTCTGTTTCTTCTATTCCCATTTATGAATTATTCTAGTAACCACTTGCTTTAAATAACTTTTGATCTCTTAAAAGAAAATGATAATTTTATTTTTGTCCATAAAAATTTAACTAAGTTCCATGGATTTAAGTTTAACGTACTGGAACCAAAATATTGACCATAAGAATGCGGAAATAATACTCAAGACATGCTTTTGAATCTTCACTTTATCTTGGAATTATTCTAACTATGCATCTAGCCTTATTGTTAGAAAAAGTTCATGCTTTTCTTCTCTTAAAAGGCATGTGAATGATGTGATCTTTGCCATTTTTGGTTTGGTAATTGCTTCGGTCATTCAAACTGCATCTAGACTTGTTATAAAGAAGATTCAACATGATATCATTTGCTTTGAATGTTACCCTCAAACAAGTCCAAGTTTTTGTTTTTGTTTTTTAATAGATATATATCGGATGAATTGACATTTGCTTACCAATATGGACTCAAATATCTTTAAAAATGATTTTGTTAGACTAAAATATAACCAAAATCATTTTAAAAATATATAAAATTGAACTAAATCCGCCTTATTCAAAATTAAATGAAAAAAAAGAGTTGTTTGAGAAAATCAAATAGTTTTTTATTCAAAAAATAAATGATTTTCTTAATTAATTTATGTGTAATTAGTCTTTTTTTTTACATAGAATTGAATCTAGATTAAATATGTACTTGTTTAATTTTACTGGGTCATAAAAGAAGGGCCCATCATTGTGCAATACTAACTAACTGCTCTAGCACTAGACAAGTGACCAATATATTATGACAAACTGCTCGAACGAGCGATAAGGCCTCCCAAAGAAGGGCTCCAAGTCGTCTGAAGAAGGGCTAAGCTGCATTGTTGGGCTTGGCTAAGATGCCTGATCCAACCCACTCTTCATTTTCAATTTAGAGGGAAAAATATGTGGCACACACACAGACCCAAATCCCCTAAACATAAGTTCTAAATTACCCCAGCCTTAGAATTGAGGAGAGATCTCCATTTTTTTTATAGAAAAGCTATACATAGAACTTCTCACTAATATGTGCGAACTAACTATATGTACCATCCAAATTCCCTAAACATCACATAAAACTTAGGACTTAGTAAAATTGACATTATTATATTTTTTTTAACAAGTACAATTGGCCCTTACCATGGGGCCTAATAAAATTAACTAGGGTCTCAACTTTAATTTATGTTATGCTACTGGCGATGGCGACGACTGACGACCATGATGCTAGTGCTGGTGACAATTGTGATGACATAATGATAGAGAAAAAGCTAAAGTTAGTGGGAGAAAGCTCATTCACTGTCATGAGTTCTTTATTGATCCTGATAATAGGTTAGTTACTTTATTTTCATCTTTACATCTCTTTGTTCTTAGTTTTTCCATTTTTATTTCTTATTTATGGTGGTTATTATTATTGCACCATCTTTTATGATAGTGACTTTACTACTTTACTAAGAACATTGTTATTACTGGATGGTTATTTTGTGTATTATAAACCCTTTAACATATTAAAGGATGTTAACTTCCATAGGAATATCAGTTGGAGTCAATTTCAGATGAATCCACTTGAGAACCTATAGAATAAACTTAACTTTTGGTCTCATGGGTGTAAGAGCAAGAAATATTTTTACATCTGGCCTTGAGATTTTGATGATAACTTTACATGTTATTTTAGAGAACAATTGTATACACTAATGGTTTCGTCTAGTGTGTAGCTGCTGCAATATGTTCTGACTCTGGTACAAGGCGTGTAACATCATCAAATTCTGAACACACACTCTGGAAGAAAACATGTGGTTACGTGTTTCGTTGAAGTCAAGATTCTGAATGTATCTTCTGCAATGTGTCTTAGGAACGTTAGCAGAAGAAGTTTTGATCGTGACTTTGTGGCTTAGTTTTGGAGGTCTTATAAAGCTTTACTTATATGTTACAAGTTCTGAAGATTATAAAGATGAAGTTCTGATGATCTGAAGAAAAATAAGTTCTTACAATCAAGTGCTGAAGACTCTAAAGACAGGTTCTGTGTGACAAGTTCTGAAGACTCAAAGACTTAGGTTCTAAAGCTTAAGAAAGATTCGTCTACAACAAGCTTCAATGTTCAACATTCAAATATCTGAAGCATCTGAAGAAAAGAAGAAAGTTCAAAATGGTTAGCGTGTGATAGTGTATAAAGGTATATAAATTTCCTGTGACTTCTACTCTTTTAGAGTGGCGGAAGGACAATCCTTTTTGTAAGTCTAAGAGTGCCTAAGAGGGGGGGGGGGGGGGGGGTGAATTAGGTATATAAAAATTTATTCGGTTTTATGAGAATACTTGTAGTAATTTTTGGTTAAGTGTTTGAAGGTTTTGATTATATCTTATCTTTTCTTGATTATGGTGATGAAAGCGATAAATACGGAAAAGTAAAGAACACGACGATATATCCTGGTTCCCCTCACAATCCGAGAGTACTCCAGTCCCCTTTCCAACACGAAAGAGATTTCACTATAGTTAGAATGATTGTACAGCCTATGCTTACTATCTAACCTATAGGGTGACCAAAGGTTCTTAACACCTTTAAGATCAAACAAACACTAATGTGAATGAAGAACAATCCTCTTCAAATTACAACACTTACTTCCAACAATCCTGGATAGTAAGGGAATACTTTCTTTTTGTAATACAATGATTAATTTGAAAGAGATGGAGAGCACTATCAATCTTCAATTGATCTTCTTCTTCAAGATAGAAACAATTCTCAAGCAATGATTATAAATGTTCACAATGAATGTATGAAACTTGTAATGATTTCTTAATGAAAGTGTATATGGCAAGTTTCACAAAATTTATGAACACTTGAAAGTTTTTAAGCAAATTTTAATGATGAAAAATTGTTAATTGAAGAAGGTTATTTTAAATCTGAAAATCTGCACATTTTATAATGTCACAAATACCTCTTCATTCATGCCATTTGATATGAAAAGATGCAATGCATTCATGAAAGAATACCATTTGAAATATGTTCAAAAACCAAAAGAAAAGCTGCACTGGTTCGCTGGGAAACGGTTCCGACCCAGGAAGAACCCGGTTCTTAGTGAACGTTATAACTCAGAATTTCAAAAAATAACACGCAGGAACCGGTTCCCCTATTGGTACAACCCGGTTCCTGGTACAAATTCCAGGGAGGTGTTTTTTGAACAAGTTTGGAACCCGATTCCCTGTTAGGTAGGAACCGGTTCCTGAAAGTTTATTTTCAAAAATTCTTTTGAAAAAGATTTCAAACATAGTTTTTCTTATTGTTAAAAATGTGGGATATGTATATGATTATGAATGCATATTTGTGAACATCTATATTCAAGTTTAAGAATTATTTATACCTTTTGACATTTGTTGTTTCTTTAATAATTCTTCTTCTAATCTTCAAGACTTCTATATGATACTTGATAAACTTTTTGCACATCCTTTGAATATTGATATCCATGTTGTTTTCATCAAAACTAATGCTTTAAACATGACTTGAGAAGCTTGCAATTACACTTTTGTACTTGACAGTGCATACTTTCATTATAACAGTTGAGAACCAACAACTAGATTTCTAATTTACCTTTCTATCCATTCAACAGATCTCTTTTACAAGCTATAAAAGGAGTACTTGGAAGCTGAAGAAAAGTAAGAAACTACACTACAACAACAAATCTACTGGATCAAATCAAAGCTCAACAAAACCACATCAAAGCGTTGTGCAAACTCTGTAGAGAAATCATCTGTGTATAGTTTTGTAAATAAACAAGGAGTTGTTTCTTGTATCTTGCAGTAGAACACTTAAGTGTTTTTTTTATTGTACTAAAAAGTCTGTGTAATCTGCTTACAATAAGCAAATCTGTAATACACTGAAAGTATTCAACTATTATTGAATGATACCTTGAAAGACTGAGTGAAAGTCTGATCTCAAGAAGGCTCCTGTTACAGCTTGAGTGGATTTGCAATAAGGATCGACATACTTATTGGGGGTGCCAATAAGGTTGATCATACTTATTGTGGGTTGTTCTGTAATCAATTTGGTTATAGTGGATTAAGTCCTTGTTGAAAGAGAAATCATACTTGAAGGGTGGATTGGAGTAGCTTAGTTAACAGTGAACCAGGATAAAAATCACTGTGTTCATTTACTATTATATTCTATGTTTACTTTCTTCTGTCACCAGCGAAAAGATTTTATTTGGTGAAACCCAATTCAAACCCCCATTTCTTGTGTTTCTCACACCTTCAATAGGTATATTAGCTTAGTGGACGAAGTTATTCTCCTTAACTCGATACTTAATGTTATATTGATTTTCTTCCTCTCTTTTCTCAAGATGTTTTTGAGTATGGAAGAAGTTGGTTAGAATTCAAAGGAGGTTCCTCTGGGGAAGGGTGAAAGGGATATCTAAAATTCCCTGGGTTAGGTGGTCTGAAGTGTATAAGCACAAAAAATTAGGGAGGCTGGGAGTTAAAGACCTCAGGTTGGTAAACCTAGCCCTTCTTGCCAAGTGAAGATGGAGCTTCTAATAGGTTTCTCTGGTCTCTGGTCTGATATTCTTTATGCTCATTATGGTACTTATATTGTATCTTCCTAGTGTGGAGGTAGGTCTTTGAGAAATCATTTTTTTTCACATGGTGGAGAGAAGTGTTCTTGTTTGGATCCAAGAAGGGCGATCCTTTAAATTGGTTTGATCAGACCTTGACTAAGAAGGTCATATCCGATTGTTCGAGTTCCTTTTGGAAAGACTATTGACT